GGACTTGTATCAGATCATGTTGTTACACAGCTCTATCGTTCTGGCACGTTTAACGAGGTTGCTTTATGAGACATGTAATGATTTATGACTTTCCTATTTACCAAACTGCATTTTAATTTTTAAACTTCACAAGACTCAGCTTGAACAGAAACATCGCTAGAAATCCAAAATGTTTTAGTTACTTTGTCTTTATCTTTTACTGTTCTGTTTTTAGAAAGTCAGGATTGCATCATGGCCTCCTGTTCGTCACTCATTCCTCTCTTTACTGTCTCCTGCAGGGACCTGGCTGCCCGTAACTGTCTGGTCGGGGAGAACCACCTGGTGAAGGTTGCAGACTTCGGCCTGAGCAGGCTGATGACCGGGGACACCTACACCGCCCATGCTGGGGCCAAGTTCCCCATCAAGTGGACCGCTCCAGAGAGTCTGGCATACAACAAGTTCTCTATCAAATCTGATGTCTGGGGTAATTTGATCTCATTACAGCATACAATGTACTCTGATGTTCCTCCTTTAACATCTTTATTTCAGGTTCCTCTTCAACAAGGGTCCATTGTTTTCCACCTTCCCACCATTTACAGTTCAGTGATTTAGCTCTTGACGTGTTTCCGTTGTTAATCGTATGAATAGCACAACTAGCTGTCTTGTGCCTACATCTCCAGCATTCGGTGTGCTGCTGTGGGAGATCGCCACCTACGGCATGTCTCCGTACCCCGGCATCGACCTGTCCCAAGTGTACGAGCTGCTGGAGAAGGATTACCGCATGGACCGACCGGAGGGCTGCCCCGAGAAGGTCTACGAGCTCATGAGGGACTGTGAGTAGCAACATCATCTATACTGAATATGATTGAAGTCACTAATCATGAAGGATGTCCTTATTATTTATTCACAACATCTCTCTGGCAGGTTGGAGGTGGAACCCCACAGAGCGGCCATCTTTTGCTGAAACACACCAAGCCTTCGAAACCATGTTCCAGGAGTCCAGCATCTCTGATGGTCAGTACGGCCATCTTTGATATCCCTGTTATTTTCATGCCCTTCAAATTTAATTAAATGGTTTTAATGTCATATGCACATAAGCTAAAGTTTAGAAATGACAATGAAAAGCTTATGTTCCGACCTCCAACAATGCAACATAGTTATGTAAGACAAACACAATAAAACAAATTCAAAAATATTGCAGAAGTCTATGTACACACGTAAATACAATATGATATATACAAGAACAGAATGTAAAATGAAATAATGTACAGCAAGATGAAATTAAACACTGTTTATTACAGTGATAACTATTTAGATAAATACATTGTAAGATAACAAACAGATGACTGGTTATGGCGGCACTTATCAGAGCTCAGGCGTTTAGCAGTCTTATTGCCTGTGGGATAAAAACTGTCCCTGAGGCTGGTGGGTTTTGTTGGTTCTTCCATCATAGTTATTAAGATGTGATAATAGTGTTCAATCTTGTCTGTATTTGTACTTTTAGAGGTGGAAAAGGAGCTGGGAAAGAAAGGGAAGAAGGCGACATGGGGCCCCACCCAGCAGGCACCACAGCTGCCCACCAAAACCAGAACTCTCCGCAAAAACATGGACAACCGGGATGGAGATAGTCCAGGTGAGACGCACTTCCACCCAGTGCCACTGTTACAACCTGCTGTAAAATGGTTATTCATTTTCTCTAGCCCGTTGAATTAATTGTAGTTTAGTATTTCTTCCTTATCACTAATCGTTTTCTGGTTCTTTTGGGCTCTTCCTCAGACCCTTTGGATCCGGATGTAGCTGTGTCTTCACCCATGCTCCCCAGGAAAGAGCGCCCCCTGCTGGACAGTAACCTGAATGAGGACGATCGCTTGATACCCAAAGACAAGGACAAGAGTCGTGGCTTTCTCAGTCTCATAAAGAAAAAGAAAAAGAATGCGCCCGCTCCGCCCAAACGCAGCTCGTCCTTCAGAGAGATGGACATCCACCCCGAGAGAAGGGGCATGACTCCAGATCTCCGAGACAGCGACAACTTCAACAACGGTAACTCGTTGACCATTAATGACATCACACATGGCCTCGACTCCGCAAAGTTCCTGGGTCCTAACAATAACGGGGCAGGGGGCATCACCAACGGGGCCCCCACTTACCCGGGGCCTTTGTTCCCACGCAAGAAGGGAGCTCCTGCAGTGCCTGGCCCTGGAGGGAAAGCAGCCACAACCCCACCCAGCGAGGAGGAGCCCATGTCCAACACCAAGCGCTTCCTCTGGTCCTCCAGCATGCCCAGCGGCTCTGACGGCACCGAGTGGAAGTCCGTCACGCTGCCCCGGGACCTCGGCCAGCGACACTTCGACTCGGGCACCTTCGGGGGGAAACCAGCCCTGCCACGCAAGAGAACCAGTGAGCAAAAAGGGGAGAACGCCCCTCGAAAAGGGACCCTGACTCCCCCGCCACGTCTGAACATCCTTTCAGACGTTTCCTCTTCCTTCTTATGCAAAGACACTGATCCCAGTCCTGGTTCCAGTCCCCAGGCCCTAACGCCAAAGGTGGTCCGGAGACTGGGGTTGCCCGGACTGGAGAACTCCAAGACGAGCGCGCTCCACGCCGAGCTCCTCAAGCCCAACGTGTTCCCCGCTCTGGGGGCCGCTGGAGACGAGTGCAGGGCCCGCAGGAACAAGCACTCCGGGGAATCTGTCAGGGAACGAGGAAAGATACAGAAACCCAAGCCAGCCCCACCTCCACCACCCACCAATGCCAAATCGGGCAAGATTTCCCGCAGCCCCACTTCAGAACTCCCCTCCCCCTCAGACATCAAAGCTAAGGGCCTCCCCTCTCCCTCAGAGCCCCACCACACAACCACTGCCAGTGACTCTGCCCGCTCCCCCCTCAGCGAAGGCTCCAAGAAGCTGTCCCTGGGCTCCACCTCCAAACCTCAACCGTTAAAGACCTCCGCTTCCTCCTCTTCAGTGACCACCTCCCTCTCCAGCCAGAGCCTGGGAGGCTTCTCTTCCTCCCTCACCTGCCCCGGCGACCTGTGCTCGCCCACCGCCTTCATCCCCCTAGTGAACACCCGGCGCTCCCTCCGCAAGACGGCCCCCCGCCAGGCAACCGAGCGCACCCCCAACTCGGCCGTGACGCGGGACATGGTGCTGGAAGGCACCGAGCGGCTGCGCACGGCCATCTGCCGAAACTCTGAGCAGACGGGCAGCCACAGCGCCGTGCTGGAGGCCGGCAAGAACCTGTCCAAGTACTGCGTGAGCTTCGTGGACTCCATACAGCAGATGAGGAACAAGTTCGCTTTCCGCGAGGCTATCAACAAGCTGGAGAACAGCCTGCGGGAGCTGCAGATCTGCCCCACCGCCACAGGGGGCGCCAACGCACAGCAGGACTTCAGCAAGCTGCTGTCGTCCGTCAAAGAGATCAGTGACATTGTTCAGAGGTAGCGCCATAAAGCTACCAAGATGTAAAACTGTTTCCTACACTACTCTTTTTTTCTGAGCAGTCCATGCTGAGCTGTCGGAGGGTAAAGCCTGCGTGAGAGCGGAGTGTCACTACAGTTCACTCCGAAACACTTAAGCCTGTTGTTACTGTGGATGGAATCAAAGGACTCTCTCTGTAGACCGCGTCAGAGTATGCAATATTGAAAAGCCTTAACCATGAATGAACTGTCTTTTGGCCTTTGAGGCGAGGGGCCAATACTTTATCAACATGACTTTTCACCAATCATTTCTGAAATGATCATGTCTTATGTATTCTCGTTGTGTTCTCCCCCCTAATCGATGAAACTAGTAGAAGAAGCCTTTGATATATCACTGTTAAAAGTATGATTCTTCATCGATGCCAATGACAATGAGAAAAACCTTAACCTCATCTTGTTCTAGGATGCCTTCTAACTTTTAAACGACTGATCTCATATTTCTGTTGACACATTGTGAGAATTAGGGAGCATCTGGAATCAGTGTTTATAACCTGATGCCTCTGTCCAACGTGTTGCATTGCTTCATCAGTGACGAACACGTGTCAGTGTTTGTTCTGTGTGAATGCTTTTTGCAGTATTTGCAACCATGTGCCATAAAATAATAATGGGAGCAAGCAATAAGGCAGAATGAGCTTCTGGTTTTCACCTTTTTTGCCTCACTGCACACTTTGGTGACAAGTAGTGCCTTTAACACTATTGGCAGAGCTGTTTAGGACTTGCCACTTTCCAGAGATGTGGCAGAGTGGATAGCTGTGTTGATTAGATATACTTGTGTTATTGCCATACCAAAAACCTTTGTCTCCAGTCGATACTGGAGAGGGACCAGGGTGCACGATCTGCTTCTTTGTGGATCAGACTTTTATGTTGTCCTCAGACTGGACCTTTTTTTACTTTTGTAAATCTAATTCAACTTTCTCTACATGCCAGTCACAAAAGCCATCAGTAGCAGCCCCCCCATGTTTGATCTGTAAAGAGTGATCAGTGTTTCTCACCATTGAAAGGGCTCTTTGGCGGGTTAATGACACGTGGTCCTGATGCTGTTTCAGAGGCCTTTCTACCCCAGCAAGAAATAAATATATCCTGGGGGAAACACTGGACTGAAATGTTGATCAATCTGTCACTTGCTGTCTTAGAAAAGTGATAAGCTGACCATTATAGACTAAAATACTCATGAATATCCACTGTAACATCTTTTGTCAGTAAGTTTTCAGTAACACCCCCATGCCCTGTCTGCGTTAACTGCCTTGACTTCAACATGGTACTGTCAGTGTCGGCTCATCTGTTTTCCTCTCCTTTTCAACCATACCACTACTCTACTTTAATGTCTAAGTCTTCTCACCAATTTTGTAGACACACTTTGCTTTCCTTTGTAAATATGTTTTCTTTTTCTCTCTCTAGCCTTGGTGCAATTTTTGTTGCAATAAAATACAAAGCAGTTGTGCTACTTGAAATACAGAACAGAGTCTGGTGCTTTTTTCTTAATCACATTAGCAGTAATTCATATTCTGTTTTCAAAGCAACAACAAATCTGTGACAGAGACAAAGCAACAGGTTATGTATAATTTATTTTTTCTGTCTAGAGTATTTTGTCATTAAAATCAAAATGTCAACATTTTAAAATCATATACACTCAACACATTTAAATGTTAGCACAGCTCGTTACAAATTTATACATATGTACTTTTTTTGTACTTGTGGACAGACAAAGCAGGAAGTGGTCACTCGGACTGCAAAGAGGTGGACACAGGAAAAAGGAAGACCCAGCCCACCAACTTCCCACAATAACAAACCAATCCCCACTCCCCAAAAGTTAAGACAGCAATGCAGGCCCCTCCCATGTGGAGGAGGGATGATGGGGGTGGAAAAGAGAATATAAACATTAAAGTGCCCCATTCTCCACTCCATAAAGAAATGAGGGAATTAGAGTTTGCAGACATAAAAACTAGTTTTCACATATCAATCCTCTCCCCTCAACCAATCGACAGGTTCAGTAGTGTGCTGACGGGACGGGGTGTTTAGGTGTCTGTCCTTTACGTACATTTATTAATAGAAACTATGTTACAGAATTTCCCAAGCATGACTTACAGGCAACCCACTAAGCACATCAACTGTACAGATCTTGGCAGCGCCAGCAAATAAAATGTCTAAATTTCCAAGTAGCGAGGTCATCACCGATAATTAAGAAGCGATATATACAGCTGTCCAATCGGGGATCACTATGGTACAGAACGTTTTTTTTTTTTACTTGAAAAATAAACAATTGGATTTGTGATCATTTCAGGGTGTTTGGGGGGTGCATGCCGCTCGGTGTCGTACTATACAAGGCAGAGGAACAGATCAGCTCTTCAGTGCAGCGCCAGAGACAAAGGAGTGTTGACACTTTCTGACCATGCTGCTGATATTTTTTTATACAATGTGAACCAACACTTTGCATTTTTATTCTCCGGTAAAATGCTTTGTCTAAAAAGAGTTGATTTCATTGACTCTGGGTGAGTCCAACAGCAGTGTGAAGAGCAAGTGCAGCGATACAATGATAAAGAAGAAAGAGTAGTAACATTAATTATATAGTAAGGCAACAAACAATGACAAAGAAAATGCTGGTAAAGACAGAATCTGTTGGGGAGAGCTTTTGGGGGTCGGGGGGGTCGGACGGGCGAGGAGAGCTGGTTTAGAGAAACCGATGTGAGTGAATCTATCAAACAGAAAAGCCATGTTTTTTTTTTTTTATAGTCCCCCACCCAACTTCTCAACAGACTCACTAAACAGACGAGAAAATATTTCTCCCTGTGATTTCTCAGAGGAGAGACTGAGGAATAACTTCCAAAGGAATTTGTGGGCAATTCCTGGTTTTGTAAAGTATTCCTCCTCTCTCTCTCTCTCCAGAGAACATCAGTGTGGCCACATCTGGCGAAGGAACGCTCTTGGTGCCGAGCAGCAGAAACAGAATTAAAAACCACAAGCCGGTTTTAATCCTTCTGAAAACGCTCTCGGCTTTGAAACACACTCGAGACCCTCTGCCTGTGTGACTGCATCTCCTTCCCTGTCTGATCCCACAAACGTGAGGGAGTGAGATATCGCGCCCGCATGTCTCTGTCAAATGCTCGAGTGGTAAACCATGCAGGATGTTAGGAGACTACATGTAAGATCCGATTCATTCAGAACTGATTCGCGGTGGATGAAACTTAATGCAGTGTTTACATGTCATATACAGCTATAAAACCAAACGTAAAAAACAGTCTCGGTTTATCGTGTGAACGTTACGTCTATCTAAAGTGTCGGTAACCCGTGTGGTGGCGTCTACCATACTGTGACCTGGGGGGGGGGGGGGGGGGGGGGGGGACTACACTGAATGGTGCGAGAGGAGCGGAGGGGAGTAAAAGAGGAGTTATGGGACGACAACACAGACATATTTTAGAGAGAGGAGGGGAGGGAGAAAGGATGAGGGGAGGAAGAAAGGATGAGGGGAGGGAGAAAGGATGAGGGGGGAGAGAGAAAGGAAGAGAGGGGGGAGAGAGAAGGAAGAGAGGGGGGGGAGAGATGTAGTCCGCCCAGGCCAGCTCAGTCTGGCCCTAGTTGATATCTATCCCTCGGGTCCTTCGCCCTGCTCTCATGCTCCTGGTGCAGTGAGGGAGGAGGGGGGATGGACGTACGGAGGTGAAGGAATGGATGGAGAGGGGGTGGTTGAGGGACAGACTGAGAGAGAAGGAGGGAGCAAGGGAGGATGACGAGGGTTTGCTTGGTCATTAGCACCCGCACCCTTCCCTCTGGGGCTGTGGTTCGCTGGTTAGCCGGCCGCCCTGGGGAGCCGACGGCTTGTGCTGGACCCCCGACTCGGCGGCGTTCAGGTCCAGGCTGCCATCTTGGATGTTCTGGTAGATCTTCTTGGCGGCTTCCAGGAAGGCGTCCTCAACGTTTTCACCTCTGAAACACGGAGCGAAAACACACAAATGTGAGAAAGGAGGCAACTGGGAGTTAGAGAATGTAAGCAGAGAGTCGCTGAGGCTGAGCAGACTTACGTTTTTGCACTGGCTTCCAGAAACAACAGACCTGGGGGACATAAAGCAGACACAATGACACATTCAGTAAAACATTGTTAAAAGCTCACAGTGCTCAAGTGCCAAGTTCTCAATCGCCCGCTCGTTTGATTAATATCCCCGCTTCTCCTAGTTTCTGTCCCAGCCATATAAATAGAAAAGGACATTAGGGGTATTAATCTTCACGTCTGTCTCTTGAAATCAGCCATAGGGGCTCCAGTTATAAACAATCTGGAGAGGCTGGATCTCATTTTATTGCTGTATTTTATTTCTAACTATTTGGACATTTTGTTGGAAATGTGATTATAGTGTTGAAATTGAGGATTGATTAGTCCCAGCTTTGAAAGAGGTCTTTGCAGAATGACGGATTTACCGATTGGTTAAGTCCAATGTTGAAATCCCTAAAGCAAAATATTTCCTCCGCCTATATTCCTCGTTCCTTTCTTCCTGATGTTCCGTTTGTCTCACCGTTCTCCTCGGCGAACTGCTTGGCCTCCTCGTACGTGACGTCCCGCTGGGCCTCCAGGTCCGCTTTGTTTCCTATGAGAATGATCACCTGAGGAACAGAGACATGAACGTGGCGGGTGAGAAATGTGTTTTCCAAGAGCTTAGAAGGCAGTATTAGAACACTGTTCCTAGAGCAGTTGTTGTCTGTTAAGAGATGGATAGAGGAGGAGCAGGACACACAACAAACAAACACACTAGACTGCGCCCCTAGCAACTGATGCAATTAGACCTGTAATGAACTCATGTAATGTAATAAGCCTCCTTGTTGTAGCAGTGGCAGACTCCATAGACTCCTACTGCAGCACGTTGAGAATAAACAACTTGTGTTTTACTTCTCACAATGATCCTCACTGTGCTGTTGTGGTGAGTTTTAAACTTATTTGGGGAGAACGTGCTCTATCCAATGACAAGTAATAGGCACAAATCTACACAAATACTTCTGTAAGTCAAATGAAATCTTACTTTTTGAATGACTGGCTGTTGTTGGGAAAGTGAGCCAAGATATTTAGAAGTTCTTTCTTAATTCCAAGAAGTCTTACACAACCTATTGCTTTCATTCAGACTCGAGTGATAGTCAAATGATCAGATAATGTTTTCATTCTGTTTCCCATCTCAAACAACAGCAGTCACACGATCTCTGTGAAGCAGGAACACATGTTGACACTTGCAGCACTGTAATGATATACAGTGGTAATGACTCCAACACTGCCATCCAGTGTTGGGACTAACGCGTTACTGTAACGCCGTTATTTCTGGCAGTGACTAGTACTCTAACGCATTACTTTTTAAATTCAGTAACTCAGTTACCGTTACTACATGGTGCGTTACTGCGTTAGTTTTTTTATATAGTCAACAGCCAGGCGAACAGAGATGAGAACTGTACTTAAGTACTTGAGTAAATGTACTTAGATACTTCCTGTGTCACATGCGGAGACGCGCTGTGGGCGTGTTTGTGTTGTTTACTAACAAGACTATCATGGCGGCGGCGGAGCTCAAGTCTAGTTTCTCCACCTGGAGATATTCTCACTATTTCACTTTTGTCGAGCACAAAGAAAAGAAAGTTTCTGTTAAATGTAAGTTGTGTCTTGGCGGGTCAAAGATCTTATCTACTGCCCAAACCAGTAATTCAAATCTCTTAAAACATCTGCAAAAACAACATGCTGGGACGAAGCTAGTAGCTAAGACCACAGAGACTCAGCCGACGCCACTCCACCTCCACCTAAGCAACAGCGGCTGGATTTTAACCAAGGGACTGCTAGCCAGGGAAAAGTCGATAAAGCCATTGCACGGTATGTTGTAGAACACATGCAGGCTATTGCTACAGTGGAGTCACCCGCTTTCAGCGAGCTAGTTAGCATGATAGCATGTCCGGGCGGCACACGGCATATGGGACGGAAAACTTGTTCCAACTACCTGGAGAAAGAATATACAAAATGGAAAGCCAGCTAATATCGATGCAATCCAGATTGCATATAATGCATGTCAAGTTGATCAACAGATTGTATTATTCTCCAATGCAATAACAGTACTGAAATGAAGGCTATAATCAGGGGTGCACATAACTTTTTTGCCCTGGTTCTCAAAGGAGCACCTGGAGATGTTGCTTGGTGCTCATCCTTAAAATGAAATAAATAAACCGGTCTTTATTTGTCAGACACACGGCACAGAACACACATGCAGAGGTGAACACTGATCACACACACAGAGGTGAACACAGAACACACATGCAGAGGTGAACACTGAACACACACACACACAGAGGTGAACACAGAACACACATGCAGAGGTGAACACTGAACACACACACAGAGGTGAACACAGAACACACATGCAGAGGCGAACACAAGACAACATTAGCACGACCAGTAATCCTACAAGCTGTCATCACTACCCTCCTGACTGTTCTCCTCACTGTCTTCCTCTCTGTCAGACATGGTAGCTGATGATGTAGGCCTACTACTTTCTCTCTGGTTGAGTCTGCGATTAGCTGCTTGCATCCACAAGTCAACAGCTGGGTTTGGGTTGAAAGTCCAGTTTTAAAGGATATTTGTGGTTACTAACCTATAGTATACATTGGAATGATTTCAAACCTGTTTATCCCAATAATTATAAAGGAGTGCCTTGAAAATATGTGTTTACATAAATTGTGACCAAACCGTTTGAACTTAGACTAAAGTGAACTATCTAAACACTCAGAGTCCTTTACCTCACTGAGCTGTAGTTATCAGCCTCAGTCTGACTGGAGAGGACTCTCCCTCCACATCATTGTAGAAACATCTTCTTCTTACATCCGTTAGAGCAGCTAGCACCAGATTCTAATAACAACAGCGCCGGTACCGGTGCTCTCTCCCTCACATTTTGGCTGTGAGCTGCGGGCGCCAGATAAGCCAACATCCCCCATTTTCATCACTTTCAGCACCCATCGTACAGGGCAAATGAAAGGTGGAACCGGGGTGAAAAGTGTGTTACATTTACTTAATTATGAATATCGTTACATCAAGGCCGAAAATTAGGATGAGCGCCAACGGTCAAAAATGTTTTTTTCCCTCCCAGAACTGCCAGCGCAGCGCCTCCACAGATCTGGCGCCCTGGGCGAAAATCAACGCCAGTGCGACAGGCCGGCCCTGAGTTCATATGCAACTCGCAAATATCTTTCTCTCTCTCTCCCTCTCAATGTTGGTACGCAAATGCGCCTTTTTTCAAATGACCCGTTGCTCTTTTTTTGGCAGAGGTGCGCATGCGCACCTGCGCACCAGTTATGTGCAGCCCTGGCTATAAGGGCATTAATGGGAGCCCTTTTGTTAAGTAACTAAAACGTTACGGTAACGCATTACTTTTTGGTGTAAGTAATCAGTAAAGTAACTGAGTTACTTTTGAAATGAAGTAACTAGTAATGGTAACTAGTTACTGGTTTTCAGTAACTAGCACAGCACTGCTGCCATCACACGGCTGATTCAAGGAAACTCTGAAAACAAAACGAGACTAAGATGCTTCTGCAGATTGCTTCTACTACTTTGTTATTGTAAGAGATGACAGGAAGGACACCACAAAAACCCATGTCTCAAATAACATTCATAATTAATAAGCTTGTGGGCATATTTACCCATAAAGATGAGAGGGAAACAAGAAACCATTACATGATGTGCAAGAACAGCTGGACATAAATAAACCTCTGTTGTTTAGATACCAGGAAACATTTTTTACTTGATGTTCAAAACCTGGTGTGGCATATTTCAGAAATACAGTTCCCTGAAGCGACACAGTTCAGTAAATTAGAGAAGTGTGTTTTAGAGCTAATCATATTCACCAAATAATTCAATTTAAGAAATGGACAGGGCTCTGTGGCTTTGAACAGGCTCGGGGGGGTTGGGAGGAAGTGACAACAGGGGGATACTTAAAGGTCACAGGAGGACAGAAAACAACACAGTAAAAGAAAAGACAGAGAGCAGAGGATGCTGGGGCATTGAGTTAGAGTGATGCAAAAGATAGTCATTCCAGAATGACACAGAATGAAGAGAGGTTACTGTATCTTTGTACTCACAGTATTAGGGTTGGTGAGATTTCTGGCGTCAGTCAGCCAGCTGCTGAGGTGGTTGTACGTGCTTCTCCTGCATGACATCAACAAAGGGGACAGGGGTTACTATGACAACAGGCAAAGAAGACTTAACGATGCCACGCCTGAGGAGGGATCAGGATCAGCAGCTGCTACACAATCAGGATGAGGATAGAGCAACAGTGACACAACCTCATTTCAGATGGACAATTCCTGTCACTGGTTTCAGCCTAATCTAACATTTCCTGTTTTCTTTAAACGGACCATTTCCTCATACAGTTTGATCGTAGTGACAATAATCATGCAGGGGATCTGGTTCCAAAGCACAGATGAGTCAGGTGTTTTTCAACAAGACGTGGTAGCTCTAAAAGGAGGGTAGCATTGATTGTGAAATTCTGGCCCGACAACAATACAGATTTTTAGGATTAAAATGTTGTCCGATTGCCAATGAATCAGTGCATTCCCATATCTGAAGTTAACTGCACTGACTGACACACTGTACCCTTTAAACAAGCTTGTAGCATATACCATGTGACCAAACTTGTTAGGGGGAGTGAAGCAGGCAGGACCCAAATGCAGAATAAACAGAAACAAACACCTTCATTTCAAGGTTTAAGGAACAAACAGAACACCACCTCGTGAACACAGTCAAAGACAAACAATGAACCAACAATGACAGACAGAAAAAACAGAACTTAAATACACACAAGACTAATCACACAAACAAGACACAGGTGAGGAGGGAGGAGAAAACACAGAGGCACCAGGTGAACACAATCGGGTAATTAGGTAGGAGGGAAACCAGACAGACAGCAACAGGCAAGACAGGAGGTGAAGACTTTTCAAAATAAAACATGAAACCAAAGACAGAAAAAGACAAGACAAAACACAACACAGACAGATCGTGACAACTTGAACTACAGCCAATAATAGACAAATAAACTGGTTTTAAAAGCCACACCCTTTAATAACAGGATATGGATAAAGGTCAGCTGTGTGTTTTAAAGATTGACACAACAAATATTTGTCTCCAATTAGCCGAGCAGGAGCCGCGAGTGGCCAAATGAACAGGCATGTAAACAATAATATTAGCTCTCCCAGTTAAGTGCTGTTCCTAGGCTCTGCTGCAGTGGGTGTGCGGGGACATTCCACATGTTGAGCTGTGTTTATTTGGCACACCCCTGATGCCATCTAACTTATCTTTTGTTCAGGAGGGAGTCTATAGTGGAGGGCTGTGTGCTTATCAGATTGTTTTGCATCCATTAACCTTCCTCTTGAGCTTTAGTGTAAACTCGATGCCGTGTAGTAATCTCTCACAGACCTTAACAATGAACCATGGCCTGTACCTGGTGATGTCGTAGACCATGAGCGCCCCTGCGGCCCCGCGGTAGTAGGAGCGTGTGACCGCCCTGAAGCGTTCCTGCCCCGCCGTGTCCCAGATCTGCAGCTTGATCTTCTGCCCGCTCACCTCGATTATCCTCGTGCCGAACTCCACGCCGATCGTATGGGGGCAATCTGCCATGACTGGGGAGAGGAAGTGAGGTTAGTATGAATTCAAGACGACTCTTGGGGTCATTTAGTTTGACTAATGCCATTTTATACACTCAATTTTGATTACATTATTTAACTTTATTCATTTCTGTATCAGCATTTATTATAGTTGAATTTCAATTGAATTTTTTTCATTTTATTACCAATAATTCATCTTTTATAAATAAAATAAAAAGGGAGAACATGTATAGTAAGTGTGAAGGGAAGTGTGTTCAAGTTCTCTTACACACACACACACACACACACACACACCTCCATTGTCAGCCATGCAGGTGCATCAATCATAATCAAAGTCTTTAGAGTAATCATACTCACTTATAAATTCAAAGTATCAACCCCCAGAAAGCAGTACATTTATTTTAAACTGACACTGAGAACCTTTTCTAAACCCCACCAATATGTGTGTGTGTGTGTGTGTGTGTGTGTGCAGGAAGTGATGGTGGCAAGTGAATGAGGAACACAGCATCTGGCTCGTCAATAGTAGCTCTAACAAAGCGGAGCTGAATGGTGATGGGAGGCTGCAGCTGAGTCACACGCAGAAGAAGAGTCTCCTACTGTTGAGCTCACACTCCACTTCTATGCGCCTCTCACTTCCGCTGGCGTATAAAGAAAGCTTTAGCGATTTAGGCACTCCAGTTAACCCTGGCAACCTTACACACTCACAAGCTCACGCGAAAAGGGAGTCAAAATCAGGGCAGCACTTACATTTCTTTTCTGTGAACTGGTGAAGCAAACATGACTTCCCTACCCCCATGTCCCCTGTGGAGAGAGAGAGAGAAACACTCAGGTCAGCCGAGGAAATAACAGCATTTCTTTATCCAAGCCTGCAGCGTCGCCCCCATACATGTTGTATCAGCCACACAGTCAGCGGCAATACTTAACATTTCATGTGGAGTGAAAAGACAGACTGGAGTATAATGTGTACTGTTGAAATGTTGACGATGCATGTTAAGGTATTTGATGCATTGATCCTGTTTGTGTAACCATCAGTGAGTCATGAGTCCTTCACCCGCAGCAGAGCAGAAAAACAACGCCGCAAGCAATACAGTATTTTGACTAAACACGTTCATCTTCAAAGTGTGTCAATATTGATGCCTGTGATGTCAGTCATTTGGATAGAAACTCCAGGCTGCACCAACGGCTGTTCATCTTACTAAGCTAGAACAATCAAAGGAAGCTTATACAAGTGTGTGCAACTGCAACAAGCAGGATCACAAGACCTTAAAAGCTTCCCTTTTACAACCAAGCTGTGAGTTAGCTTCACTTTTCTAGAAATTCACAGGCTACTCTTTTAGACTCGTAAACACTTCCCTTTAAGATCCAAGCTGACTGTTAGCTTTGAGTCAGGGTGTTTTAAGTTCCACAGAAGAGGAGGGTAGCCCAGAGCTGTGGGTGTTTGTTTATGCATACTGTCTGTGAATGTACGTACAGGTAAAAGCAGCAGTATGTTCACTAAAAGCGCTCGAGTTATTAAAAGTGGACCATAAGTCTTAAAGGGGAAAGGCATTTCATCGTTCATTTGCAGTGCATTCTAAACGGGTGATTAATAAGCAGCACAGAGTAGTTCATTTACATATAGCATTACATATTGGATCCACTCAGTGTAAAGGGCAGTGGCGGATTTAGGACTGTAGGAGATCCGGGGCTTAGAGCGGGGGGGGGGCGCTCATGAACTGTGAACTAGCCGGAGCCTCGCAGCGGGGCTACTGCGGAGCGCATAAAGCAGACTCTTCACGCTATCTAAGGATCACTACTTCTTCTTCAGGGCAGGGAAGGCTACGCAGTATGCAGGCTACTGTCCCGCAGCTGCTGCCTCTCTGTTGGACTCCGGTACTGCACATTACTCACGAGACGTTTATATATATATATATATATATATATATAATAAGAACATTTAAAAAAAACTTGCTTTAAGTGAAACATTTTGGGCTTTTGAGAAAACATCCGGGGCTTGAGCCCAAGTAGCCACCCCCTAGCGCCGCCACTGGTAAAGGGTAACATACAGTAAAGATAGATCGTGGTTTATTGGAGCTTCTTGAGAAAGTACGACAAATCAATGCACTGCAACCAAAAGCTGTTTAACATGGCATCGATGAAGAGCATCGTTCACTTACCGATAATGATGTATTTGAAAATGTAGGAGTAGTTGTACGGTGCGGTGGCCATTGTGGCTCTGAAAGAGAGAAGAGAAGGGGAAGTTTAGGCACGTAAACTGTGAGGAAAGGCAATATGCAGTTTTACTTCTTAGATATTTTCTAGATATTCAGACAAGGGCAATAATTCAATGTCATTTGTGAGGTGTTATTTTGTATATAAAAGTACAAATGTATTCTTATATCTTACAAACCATATCCACTGAACATTTATTCTGCATGCTGGTTCAGGAATGTTCATTTGTTTAATTAAGGTTAACTTGCCACAGTAATAAATAATACAACATATGTTATGAATAACAAAAACATAGACATTTACGCTACACAGAGATTAGTCACAAATATATTATCAACAAAAATACAACCTTAAAAAAATCTAATTTGAGCATCTCCGAGTGCAAATGAAATAGCAGACTTGTTGACGTCTATTTAAATTGGTCATGTAAGGGCCGGTGTTATTCAACAACCTTAATCCTATCGGAGCAGAGGACTGTTACAATGTGAGCCCAGGCCAGATGCTTCATCAATGCACACTAAAGTACAGAAATAAAAACACAAAACCTCTGTACGGATGTGAATTATCACAACATAACTAAATAGTTTGTTGCACTGATTGAGTAATGACCTTATTATCTTGCACAATTTTGTCTTACCCACTGATAATAATAAAGTGATTAATTATATCAGCAATCATTAACTTAATTGCTGCCATCAATTACATATCTGATCATTTCTCAGAAGCAACAATTGATACTGTTGTGATCAAAACACTATTACCTAGCCGGTGCTCAATGCACTTCCCACTAGGGTTGGGAACCGAAACTCGGTTCCAGATGAGAACCGATAAGAAAATGCCGGGTACCCATACAAAATACACAATTTCGGTTCTGCTTAACGGTTCCTAAACACGGTAGACCCTGTATTCCACCGGGTCCGTCTGCGCCGCGGCGGAATACAGGGTAAGGGCGGACTGGCCATCTGTGTGTTCTGGAGAATCACAGAACGGCCGGTCGTCAGCGGGCCGTTGACGGCCGGCTCGGTACGCTGACGGCCGGCACGCCCTTATTAATTTTTTTACCGGCATCATGTAAGTTGCGCTGACAGCGAGGCTCCCCCGCCCTCCCATAGACAGTTCACGAGCTCAGTCACTTCACGAGCTCAGTCACTTCATAACACCGAAGATGGATCGTGGTAAACGCTCTAAAGTGAGGCTCCACTACACTAAAAAAGAAAAAGACAAGGCACAGTGTAACGCCTGTTAATAGCTTGCCACAGGCAGCTCAGTTAAAATAAAGCACAGCTATTGTGCAATACATTTGTATTGCATGTATATTTTTTTATTTGTAAAAATGTCAGTTAAAGCTTAAAAGAATAAAGATATTTTTACTATCTAAACGTTTGACCTCTTTCTTTTACAATTTTGGAATCAAAACGGGGAATCGATAAGAACGGAACCGATAAGCAGAACCAGAATCGATACATTTCAAACGATACCCATCCCTACTTCCCACACACTTCATATTTCTTGTTACATAAACAAATGCAGAAAAAAACACCTTGTACTTTAAACAATATCATGACCAATGACAAACTGCTGAATGCTCCTGGATGCATCAACTCTGGGGAATGACTGGTATCGCCCTGCAACATTTGGAATATCATTGTAATAATACTCATTGTGTATATTTTACTACATCTTATATGCATTGTCATTTTAAATCTACAAAATATAAGTTATAGTCAGTCCAGTAACATCGCGACATGCATTTATTAAGCCTTAATGTACTGTATGCTGTGAATGTGCCTGCTCTTTCCCTCCTTAAGAGGCTCAGAAACAACCATTAGCAGTATTAATAAGTTACCTAGGCTAGGTAATGTACACAAAGTGAGGGGATGGGTCATTTTTAGCACGAAGGGGTGAAGAAGGCTCCTCAGTACTAAGTACACACTTTTGGATGCAAAGACCACTGTCTCGCCTCTGTCTCTTCCACATAATACAGAGCCACACAGTGAGACTTGCTAGTTTTGATGGCACTGCACACACACTTCTTTACATGCACATTAAAACACCTCCAGGAGCATATTGTCAGAGTTAGGCTAAAAATAGCCTTGACACCCATTTGATACACAGTGATGCTTCATTGTTCACACTCCATTCACAGCACGCAGGGAAAAGCCTTCAGAATTACCACATAATATCACCACAAAGAACCTTCACAAAGTACACTGAACAGCCATGGGAGATGCTCTTTCTTTAAACATGCACAGATTGGATCATATAGAAATGATCAGGTCATGTGTGACATCACTGAAGCTGTTTTAGCATGTCGCTTCTCTCATGAGCAATTTCCCTTTACTCCATCTCCAGCCCATGTTGTAGTTTCCCTAAATAAAGGCCGCTTCATAATCCTGTATCGAGGTGCTGCAGACTGCCATACAGTGTAACTGCTGTACAGAAGTCAATCATTCAGCAGCCTTGATGGTTTCCGTGGCCCTGGCAAAGATGGTCTGCCTTGAACGAGTGCTTGCCTCTGATCTACAGCTCAGAGAAAAGTGTGCGGCGGCTAGAGCAGTTCCTGGAAACAGGAATCACTCTGCCACATCAGAGCCTGGTGCTGGTCTTATGCAGTTCAGTGACTATGTGTTACTGGCTGGATTCATGCTGACACAACCAGACAAAATGTGGCTGGGTGATGTGAGAATCAGAGACGCAACGAAAATAGAGCAAGCCTGTAAAAAGGAAAGGACTTTCTAGGGATGAAAGAAGAGAGGGATACATGGTGTGGACTTTCAGTAGCATTAGAAAATAGAGTAAGTGGGAGAATATAGAGGATCAGAGACAGGAAATAAAGAGGAGCTGCAGTGCAACTTCACCGAGGTTAATTCAGGTCGAGGGAAACTGCTTCTTGATCTTAGTTCAGGTTGGTACTATCATAATGGCTCATACCGAGTCCAGCAAACATGCGTTGAGGAAAGCACTGACAATCTTATGCCTAAGAAAGAAAAGAAATCACAAAAAAAGAAAATATCAATAGAAGAGAAAATGTATGTTCAGACTGATACATTTGATATGAATAGAAAACCATATCATTTGATAACTAAGATAACTCAAAGCATGTTCCTTCATCTTTTTACAAACGATGTAAACAACTAGAGGGATGTTTTTGATGGTGTCCAGTCAAGACTTGGCTCCCACCCACAGTCCCCAGAAACTCTGCAACCTGACATATGGTCATCACTGAGCTTAACACCAGCTAGCTAACCTAAGCTAAAAGCAATATGTATAACTATGAACTTCTTCTGTGATCAGTATACACTATCTGGGAATCTATCCCTATGACTAATGTTTTGAATACAAATGCATGTCCAAGTTCAGCACTTAAAAAAAACACCAACATGACAGTAATATAAGTGAATGAAGAGTGGGTTTCAAAATGAGAAAGACGCCATTAACAAATCACGAAATGACATAATTGCTATGCTTTAAAGATCCAAAATCTGAGGGCCTTCAACCAGGCTGCTTCCAGTCACATGATCGTCATGGGGCGTCTCTATGCCCAGTCAGTGTTATGGTTTACACTGCTCTGGAAGGTATACCTTGAGAGAATGTATCCTCAAACCAGTTAAAGCTAAACGTTTTTCAGGAATGATACCCAACCCATTCTTTCAGCTTTTTTGCTCATTACATAGAAACAAAACCAAACAGTATCCATCAAGGAGAAGGCGAATCAAGACCATGTGATCAGACTGCAGCGTCAGCACTTCTCTGTCACTCCCCAACACACTGAATCTTTCCCTGCCTTTGCTCCTCTCAGAGCCATGTCCCATAGAGTAATGGTGCACGACGTAAATCTGGGCCATCAGGAAATCATGACACACATATGGCCACAGTGCCTCCCTGTTGTTGAGGCCTACTTTTCAAATCATGTGACTAAATTATGTGAAACAACAAAATGAGATCACTACCATTTGCCGGTTAGACGAAGCACACTTTCACAATGCATACAAATCGAATTTATGAGGTTTTACAAACCTTGTATACAAATAAATCAATACAAAATAACAGGCAACGTTCTTATTCAAGTTTCAGATCAAGCCTGCTTACAGACTGCACAAGTACAATAAACAGAAATGGTGCAGCAATATATATTAAAGCTAACATCCGATTTAGCCGTGAAGACTTTTAAGACATGAATGGTGTACTTGTGATCAACTTCAGTTTTGTATTTATTGTAAACATCTGCTTGGAAAGGCACAAGGAGGCTAACACATTGGCTAAGGAATGATCGGACCCTTTTCCCATTGCTGTAGAACAATTGATCACGCTATGACTTATAAACAGAACCAGTCTGCATTCACAAATCCAAACAAACCCGACTAAAGTGTCCGATGTTAACTCATGTATTCAACGTTGTAACGGTAACGTCATGCAAACTCACAACGACGGTGGCTAGTTAGCCCAACAACCGGCTAAGTGACAGCATCGGTTTGGTTAAATCTCTGGTGTTATTCAGCAAACAACAAGCTAGAAATATCAATGTCCAGGAACATCTGGACATTCACTTGGTTAGAAGTTAGAATACCAGTACATGATCGCGTCTAATAACAATCTAGGCCCTAAATTAGCCGTTTTGAGAGTTAAGTTTGCGTTAGCTGGTACCTGCTACATCTTGACAACAAATAACATACGATTATATTTCAAGACGTAAGTCGGTTGCGTATATCTACACAAGGGGAATTGATAAAATGCATTCCACTTGTTATAATAAGGTTAGTGAATTAACTTGGCTTCTGCATCATTTCACAAAAGTCAACATACACCAAACTAACGACAGCTAGCGTTAGCTATAGCATGCCAGTTAGCTGTAAACTAGCTGCGAGTGTTGGATTATGGTAAATGCGTTGCTTAGTTAGCATGTCAGTCTATATTAAGTAATTGATGAGCACGTAATGTTTTTGCATAGATGAGTGTTCTTTCGCAGTTGAATGTGTAATGTATCCAAATTATTGGCAGCTTAACATAAAAAAACAGCCTAGTATTAGCTATCTGTTAGCTGATAGATCGCATCGTTAGCTTGCCAGTTAGCTGGAAAACACAGGCTAGCTCCAAATCGTTCCATCATTTTATTACCAGAATCTCAACGTTACTCGGGCGGTGTGTGTATCTGTCTGTTAAAGTATTTCCTATGTTCTGTCCTTACCAGATATTAAGTCTTTAGAGCGTTGTGTTCTTGAGCTGTTCAGAAGAGGAATGCAGGTTATCCTGGCTCAAGTATGATGATCTGTCTATCCAAGATGGCTGCTCACGGCACAGGGTTTCCTTCGCTGTATACAATGGGCTGCTGGGATAAAGAGCATCATATGCGGCGATCTGCAGCCTCGCCTGCACAGGTGTATTCTTGCATTGCGTAGGCCCACTGGCATACCAATTATTATGTATAAAGTGCCATTTCAGATTATGTAACCGTCACTTATAAATCAGGTAATACTTGAGTACATGCATTTGATTAAACCATGCAATTAACCTAGGTCAGACCAGACTATGTCTTGTGTAACAAAGCTTAGTAAATTGTACAAATGAGCAATGGTTCTATATCGTTTACATCTATATCTGTTTTTTCTTCTTCTGTTTTTTACAATGGTATTTGGTTTATTACCAAATTATTAAATTGGTTTATTTTGGTTTCTTTCCCACAAGTTTGTGCATTCACACTGATTGCATTTGAAGCCTGTTTTAAACCCAGCTTTTGTGTTTTAACATTTAGCTTTCAAGGATAATGACACAAATGTCATTTAAATTCAATAAAGAAGAGCTGTTTAGCAAACATTTGAAGCTTAACAGCATCCTCCTAGCCAAATTGCCCTTTCGTTAGTGAGTTTCTGCCCCAGCAGTGCTGCCTAACTCTAAAATGACGAAATGATATAAAGCTAAAATATAATGTTAAGAACATTATACTTCACAACTGAAAAAAACCCTCTAAAATGTATGACATTATAATATAAGCCAATAATGGATATTTACTTATTGTTTAGCAATCAATTTTCATATGCATATAAATTCACTTTCCAATCGGCTGGCTTACTGTTTAACACAGTTTAGGTAATTCTCTTGAATTCATTTGAATCTTATTTATATTCCTATATTGAAGATATTTGAATTGCCTCTAATTGTGTGTAGCACTTGACAACAAATTCAACTTCATAGAATTTTTTCTTTTGAAATATATGAAACATTTTAATACAGTAATTCACAACATGACATGCTTTCACTGTACAATATTTCTTACAATTCTACATAGAACCACATGCAGTGTGCTTTCCCAAGCTTAGCCTGGAGAACTGGACAGCGAACTAAAAAAATATTTTTTGCAAACTTAAAAGAATCTACTGCACATAAATATTTGATCTTGAAAAAAGAAGATGAACATTGATGTATGCCTTAGAGTACAGGTGGATGAAAGCCTTTAGTAAAAACATTGGTGAGTATCTTGCTGATCTTATGTCTGAAAACTAACAAAGATATTTTTCTTTCATGGTAACACGTGTCCAATATCCTTGTACTTCATCTACATGTGAGTGAGTGGATGTGCACAATAAATTCACGGATTACTGTATGCTGCTTTCCCATTATTTTTGATCAAACATATTCACACTGTAAGTCCAAGCTAACAATGTGACAAGAGCTACAATTTCAAGGTGCACGTCACCACACTGAGAAAAACTGTAATTTATCCCTTTACATGAGCAGCTAAGAGTCAAGATGGAAGCTGTTGTTTGTCTCATAGTCCACACTGCTGTCAGAGGGCATGCTCCTCTCCAGTTTGACTCCATATCACAACCACATCCTCTGCAGCAAGAGGCTGAGCAGTGCACAGATGTACTGGAGTGTGCCTGGATACCAGGAGGGGGCACTGTTACATAGGTCCGAGTCACAGCAGTGGATGCGCACCCCTGGAAGCTCATGTTGCTGGCAATGTCTGGATGTGGCACAACCGCTGGTCAGGACGATACCCAGGGCCGCTGGAGAGAAAAAGGGGAGAGACAGTCTGTCAGAGAAGAGTGACACGCTGGTGTTTGGCTCAGCAAGAAAAAAAAGCACATGTCAGCACCAAATACTGCAAGTGTGTAATGAGGAAGGCATTTAAAGATCTTATGGGCACACTCCACAGGATAGGTCTTTACGGCAGAGCAGTCTGGAAAGTATTTTAGAAATAGTACATGTTGTACTTACAGTAGCTTGGAGATGCATTGTAAAGAAAAAGAAAAGAAAAGCGACAAACAAGGACATGTTGGCATTCAAGTATAGCATTTCAAACATAAACCTAAATCCACACAAGGTCTTTTGTAACAGGGCTGAAATAGAGGGGTATGAGGCACGCTACAATGGGTGATCTGTTTGGTATTTTGAGCAAAAAACTCCAGAGACATGTTTTGTATAGATATGGCCCTATAATATATTGTTCAAATATAGTATAATATGGGACCTTTAAGTAATAGCTGGAAATCATTTTGGGTTGTCATCTAGCTTGTATCCTAAAAGCTTACAACCAATTAAATCGCACTGCACAATTTGAATATTAAAGCAGTACTTGGCATGAGATCATTCTAAATAATTGGAAGCCATAATTCAGCTTCTCCACCCTATGTTTCAAATAAAATAGTTTATATAATGAGATTTGAATGATCACCTTCTTGCCCTCAATTAGCACCTGACAACACCTCTGTCATTTGTAATCCGCTATACAGATGAGTGATCAGGTATACTAGGAGACAACAGCAGAGCCAATCTAAAAATAACAGCCTGGCTTCTTCATTCAAATAAAGGCAACAGAGGAATGAGATGACATCAGGAGAGGAAGGATCTCGTTATGGATTAAGTACAGATGTGCTGCATTTGAAAACAAAAGAGACTCTAAGACTCTTATGGAATTTGGCCAGCATCTGTTAGATTTTGGATTGGTGGGGTCACATGAAGATTACCGGGCTGACGGGCCACAGATAAGTGACAAGACACTGCTTTGAGACTTTGATCGACAAGTGCTTGTCATACGTTTCTGATGGGCTGTTGTCAGTCGTTTTCTGAGCTTGCTGTTTCTCTGAGCGGCTGGAAAAAGGTGCCTCATCAGCTCCTTTCAACATGAGTGGATCCTTTAGACATCAAGCAGTAACAGCTGGATAGTCCACGCTTCTGTGGATATCAGCAGAACTACTCAGACCATCACTCTCCTGTCCCGGGTGTCCACATCCTCCATTTGACTTAACATCAAACAAGAAATGACTTTTTAATTTACTCATGATAGCACACCAAAGGAGGGTTATGTAACTGTCATCAGTGCCGGGAGCAATATATTCACATCAGCGGACAAAGAACAGAAAGTATTATTAAAAATGATTATGCCAATATCCAGTGGCACGCCAGAGTGCATTCATCATGGTTTGATAATGTTCCACTCGACCATGAATATTCTTCAAACAAATAGCTCTGTGAATAGAGGATAATATGATTTCATTTTATTAGTCATGTGTGATTGGTCATGGAGGTGTACTCACTGCTCTCTGTCTTAATGCAGAAGCGGTGTTTGAAGCCTTTGTGTGAGTGGGTGCAGGTGATGACTTCTGGGTTGGAGCAGCCCACGTCCACATACTTCTGGCCCTGGATGATGTTGCAGCCATAGCACTGCAGCCCCTGGACTGTAATGGACACACAGAACACGAATGATTACTTGTTACGGTAAAATGATGATTTACCTTTTTCATGCAAAGTCAATGGGGTTCATAAGCACTGGAACATTTGAAAGAAATAACATACACAGGGACTAGCCCCTGCAACTCCTCACACCACTGTTATGATTAACAATATTATCATTTGTGTATACTGTTCCTCTGTTACCTTAGATTCTTGAGCGAAAACATGATTTCTCTTGAAAGCCTCCACTATAATTGAAACATTCAAAAGTGGAAAAGTCTTGATGAATTGAAGGAAATGGAGGACTTTAAAAACAGCATCTTAAAGATGTGTATGTTCCCCTGAAAGCAGTATCATGCATAATTTCAAAGGCATCAAGATTCCCTTTAAACATTTTGCAGTTAAAAAAAAAACGCAAAATGTATTTGAAGTTGGATATTAGGTCTAACTCCTGACGGTAATCAACTATACAACAAAGCCAAAATCAACTCATTCTCTTCTTTTCTTTTTTCTTCTCTTCTCTTCTCATTTCCTTTTATTTTCTTTGTTTTTCTTCTCCTCTCTTCTCCGGTGACTCACCCTAGTGAGCCCCATCCCCATGCTGTTTGTCTGCCAGCTCCAGCAGTTTGTGATCTGAAAGCCTTGTCTCTACCACTCACCACCTGATAAGTGGCGTTGTGGAAGCTACACCACAGAAGGGACTCGAGAGGGACCAAATAAACATGCGGCTCAGATTATGCTGTTTACTTTTTCCTTCTCAACTGATGCCTTAAAACATTAACATAACCATTTGCCAAAAATATATTTGCTCCATTTGCTGCTGAATGAGGAGCTGGCCCATATAGTGGATCATCATACAATGGGGATTTAAAGCAAATACATTTTTTTACAAAAAATGTCTCTCATCTTTAGTTCCCTCTTCTCCAAAGCCACTGTCCCACTCTCTGAAGAAAGTAAGGCTAAGCTTCAACAAATCCAACCGAGCTTAAAGGGATTGTCTGCAAATTCAGCCCCCCGACACACCTGCTGAACTTCGAAATCCAGCTCACAAGATGGAAGATCAGCTTGGCTGAAACCAATCCTCCCTCTTTATCTGCGCACCCCTCTGGACTCTGCAGGGCAGAAAGCGAATGGAGCCTCCCGCCGACTCTGCTCGGTTAAATAGCTGAGCAAAAGCTCTGATGGAGCTTTCAGGTGCAAACTAATCCTGGGAAAATGCTCTTACAAAAATCACTTTAGAAATCTGCTGGAATCAATGTAAAGCCTCACAGGGACAGAGGGCACATGCCAGCCTTTACGGGATGTGTCATACTCTCCTGCTGATGATACTCCATGAACATCTCTTATAAATATTGGAGTATGTCATTACAGCCGGGTAATGGTTGTGATCATACCAAGCAGTGGGACAGTATATTTACATCTGGCAAACAAGCTGAATGATCAATTCACTGTGATGTCCTTACACACCGCACACACATTTGTCAACGTAATGAGGACATGTATTGGAAAGACATTCAGCTTCCCTGGCACAAGGCAATTTTTTATAATTAGATCCTCTCCCAGTATACGCATTGCAAATGTTAATTAACTCTGTGTTTATCAAAATCGATAGTGACCATATCAAATCCTATCAATTATTAGTATTGAGCAAATTTAACATGCGCATTTGCAAGTAAAGCTCATCTGCATTTTAGCATTGAGTAACTTACATCCATTACACTATTATAAGCAGTATGCATGTTTTATTAGAAACATTTTAAGAAGAAGACAGCTGGAGAGAAAAAGTAAGCAGCCTAAGCGACAAACAAAAAGGATTTTAGGGATTATCATAAATACATTTTGATTTAATTTAGGAGAGGTTATACCGCTTGTGTGTTTCATTTTAAATTGTTATGTTTTGCTTTTGAATAAGAACTTAGGTCATGCTCAAAATGGCAGCATTTTTAGGGCAGCATTAACATATTAGAGACAAATTATGATAGCAAGGTGATTACTGTAATCAAGCAATAGGTACATTTGACATATTAAACTGTGTGCTATTAGGTATAAATTAGAAGTGCTTTGGTGATGTTTATTTGAAGGTTAAGGTTAATTAAAACAATGTTATAGTGTTAACATTACCTTTTTTCCATTTCATTGTTGACATCATATTGTTTATGTTAAGTTAATGCATTTATATCCATGCTTAGCTATGTTTGCCTCATGAAAGTTGCCCAATTGATGATCATTAGTCTGTTGAGCGGATTGCTTCTAGTCTGGAGGTGGGACCAGAGGTCAACTGACTCAGACCAAACACAGCAATATGAATCAAGCAAAACAACATCTCAGCACGCAACATCCCCCTTTTTCTTTTTGCTTTGCCTCGAGTGTGACAAAGGTCGAAGCCAAGCCAAAACAAGTCAATGGTTATTGCTCAATGGGGAAATTTAGTTTGACCACCTACGGATATCGCATAGATTTGAACTCCCTAGGTCATGCAGAACAAAGGCATACTTATTCTAATCCCCTTTCATCAATTATATTTATGCAATCCTTTAATTTGGTTTAGGTTTGGAACTTTCACTAGCCTATTTTCATTAGTTATACTGCTGCGTTGTTTAAAAGTTTGCACGTCTACATTTTTTATTCTACTTTCAGTATACTTACATTTAATTAGTTTACCTCATACCAACCTCTACAGATTTGACGTTAGGCTGACTGTAAAAGGCTGTTATACACACACACACACACACACGCACACGCACACGCACGCACACGCACGCACACGCACACGCACACACACACACACACACACACACACACACACACACACACTTCTATGCACTAAACATGTCTACATACATTTCAATACTGAAATCTCCCCTACTTACCCTGTTTAAAGCAGAGACCCCAAACCAAGATAAATCCAAGCCCATACACCAGCCAGGTATGTAAAGTCATGGATGCAGCACAGTGGTGCTGGTGGTCAGTGCTGGATGGGAGAGAGTTATAGATTTCCTCTGCTCTCATCTAATAATCCACCAAACCAGACAGATAGAGAGAAACCTAGCAGATATCCCACTTTCCAAAGCCTGAGCAGCCCAATGTCTCCCTCCAGCCCAGCTTCAGCGGAGCTCACGCAGTGCGCGAGTTAACTGCCTGTGAGTGTCCAGTGAGAGGGGGAGCCAACCATCCAGGCAGTCAGTCAGCTCAGTAGCCAGTCAGGCAAAGAGACGAGGGGGAGGAAGCTAAATGAGTGGAGGAACAAAATAAATGAATGACTTCCTTAACGAGCTCCTCGCGTCCTGAGTAGGAGAAGCTGGTGGAGCTTGTGGTTTGATTACAAAAAGGAAATCTCATCTAAAAAAAAGCATCACCTTCTCTCATCACTGATATGAAAATAAACAAGTGAGTGTGGTCCTTTTTCCAGAAAGGGGAAAATACATTAATCAGGATTAAATCCCGATAGATAATTCATCGCTTCTAATAATAGCTCTATCACAATGTGTTAAAAGCCTAGGCGCTAAAGGGGCTGGGACACCAAGGGGGCCAGGTTTGTTTATGAGTGTGTGCATGTGTGTGTTTCTCAGAGAGGGACCATTGCCAAATGACACACACACTTCCCCAATAGGGCAGGTTATCTCTGCTCTGTGTATCACTGAGCTCGCACACTGGAGAGAAAATTCTATCTAATCAAGAATTAAAGAGTAAATCCTTTCTTAGAGACTGTAATGCCAGAGGATAAGGCAGGCTTTGCGCTAAGCCCTCTTTCCCTCCCCAACCAAAGCAACATATGGTCCTGGATGATAGATAGCTGCCAATGATCACTGTCATTCATATAAAGACATATTTAGAATGGAGAGTGCAGATTTGTTCTATATAAATGTTGATTACAGTGGAATCTAGACATGCATGCTTTTTCATTACAGCTCATTTTACAAAACAAAGATTGACGTAGTGCAGATTTTTTCGTTGTATCTCAGCATGCTTCTTTGTATTTGTAAGTGTGTGCAGCTGTGTGTGAGTTGTCTCTTCTTCTTGCTGTGCTTTTATTTATGAGTCACTGTTTGTGTGTGAGTGTGTGAAAGAAGAACAGGGCGAGAGAAGAGAAATGTCAGCAGTGGGTGCTATCTGTGTGAAGCATATGGTAGGTAGAATGGTCATGTGGACAGTTCTGTGTGTATGTGTGTGTGCATAAAGAAGTAAGGGGGAAATATGCTGTTTTAAGCTTTGCTCTAATCAATATTTGTGTGTGTGTGTATAGTTTGACATTTTGGAAAATACACGTATTCACTTTCTTAAAACGACGACATTGATACCCTCTCAATGCTATCTATCTTCTCTTCTCACTCTCTGCCAGAAAGTAAAAAATAATCATATTTCCCAAGATGCAAATCTTTTGCTTGATCATGAACTCTAAAAGAACACATCTCTTACACACTCACAAAAATACACACCCACACAGCCGCACAATTCAACCTCCAGAGATTCACCATGGACATGGGTGATGAATCTATTATGTGAAATGTTCTTATTGTATCAACACAGCCAAACTGAGTGGCGTGAAGCATGAAAGAGCAGTCCTTGTAATGTTCCCAATGCTGATGTGCACATGCAGTTTTTGTCTCGACCTTTTCCCTCTTTCCCCATCTTACTGTCCTTGTTCATTTATATTCTGCTGAGCTGCTTGAGCTCTCAGTGATAAAGCCATGAAACGAGAGTGAGGGAAGGATGGATTCGGAGGGGGAAGAGGAAGTCCGACAGTACAATGATGAAAGTGAGACTTCCCCAAGCTGCTCCTGACTTATCTTATGACACACAATAGCTGCTTTAAATACCCTTGAAGCCCCCTGTGGTGGTTCTCTTGGAGTGGCAGTGACAAGAATAGAGAAAGCTACATGGCTTTAAATTCTTTATGAAATTGCAATTAAGACACCAGAAGAAGAGCTGAGCCCGAGGCTGTGCAAGCAACGACCAAAACGAAACAACAAGGATGTGAGGAGGGGAAATACATGAAAAGTTAATTATTCTATGTGGGCATTAATTCTGGGGGTCTGTCATCGCATATTACCCTCCCCTAAAAGTGTAGAGGAGATGAAACTGGAATTGGCCATTAAGTCTTGTGTATTAACCACAGCCCAGTGGGCCTCTGCAGCTTTAATGAGCAGTAATCCACTACTGTTTGACCACATACTCTACAGCGGGGGGGGGGGGGGGGGGGGGGGGGGGGAAATACTCTCCAGGCTTTTGCAGCCAAATCAAAACAAAAGTCTAGAAATTGCATGAAGATCAGCAACTTGGGTATCTCTGTGACTTTGATGCTCCACCAGTTCTGCCTGAAATCCTCAGGGGTCTCTTTTGCTTCCCTCTAGGGACAGTTTTTGTGCTTTTGTCACATGTCCCGTGATTATCGCCTTACTGCTGGCATTTGCTGTAAGATTAACTGCTGGAGCCTCGAAGGGAAACTGCCTTTTGGCACCCAGAATATCAAGTAATTGAAAGTCTGACCGGATGTATATGCCTCTGCAGTTTAACACTAAAGGGAGTGCAAAGCCGGATTCTCCTTATAAAGCAAAGGAGACTTCTCAGCAAAAGGCTAAGCTCCAGTTGAGGAACAGTAAGCACTTCTGAGTTTAGCTTTATTACCCTTTAAATATTGGTCCCCAGAATGTCTTTAATGTACTGAAGCTTTTTATTCATGTACTCAAAATGCGATCCAATGTGTTTTTGCACTGTAATATTTATTAGACATATTGTAACATATATTAACACAATTTACTCACATATCTGCTTGTTTCTTGCCATGTCTGCACTCAATTTTGCAATGCAGGAGCATAGATAATACCAGTATCCTCTATATTTGTTGTGCATAGTTATCTTATACACCAAACATCCTTAAATTATTGTTGCTGACACTTTTTTAAAGGATTGCAACCCCAGTCAATGGCAGTTTACTGACCAAATAAGCCACACTCTCCCCTGATGGTTAAGTGGAGAGTCCACAGAAACTACCGGGCTAACATAATTATTCGTCCTCTCAAGCATGTAAGCGCTGCTCCTTTCAATGTCTTATCAGCCCGTGGCATCTGAAGACGCACAGTCCAATCAGTGGCCTTGTATTTTGTGCATGGCTGCTCTGTCTCCCTGCCTGGCAGCCCTGAGGTTAAAGCCCAGAGGACTTTCTCACCATCTGCTGCTGTCACTGGGGGTGGCGCTTTCACATTCGCAGTGCCATGCCAGCCCAATGAGCCCAAGAGGCTTTGACCCTCCCTTCGACTGCCCGGAGACCTATGTCTCCCTCAGCAGGTTATTCACAGCTGCACGATGCACACTGGTTGCTAATCTAGAGGCATATTCTCTATTGGTTAGTACAGAACAGTACTGGGTTCGATTTAAAGGTCACATATTATGCAAAATCCACTTTTTCATGTCTTTTATACATAAAGATGTGTCCCCTTTGTGTAAAGAGATTCTGAAAGTTTCAGGAAAAAAGATTCACTCTCTTTTTGTCCTGACGCTGAGGCTGTGGCGCAGTGGTCTAGTGCGTTGGTGTTCGGATCAGGGGAGCACAGGTTCAAACCCCACTGTAGTCAGCATGTCGTTGTGTCCCTAGGCAAGATACTTCACCCCAAATTGCTCCTGTGGGGATTGCCCACAGTATCGAGTATGTAAGTCCCTTTGGATAAAAGTGTCTAACATGTAATGTAATATAAAAACCTGTCTGAAAATGAGCTGATTTGATTTTGGCCACTTTATGATGTCATAACGAATGATTGGCTTGTGTAACTATTAGCCAATAACCAACCAAGGTAACACCCCCCGCCTTATCACCTGAATCTCCTCCTAGAGCACCATTGTGTTCTTTTTAACCAAATATCTCTCAGAGGGGCGTGGGGAGTGGCTCCTTATTTTCATCTGAAGTAACGGACACAGAATCAGCACCTTTGAAACAGGGCTGAAACAGAGGTATGCTATGCTATGCATGATCTGTTTGGTATTTCGAGCAAAAAACTTCAGAGACATGTTTTGTATATATCTGAGAACTATCATATATTGATGAAAAAAAGCATAATAGGGGACCTTTAATGCACAACCTAAGGGAACAAATGTTCGAATCAGAGTTTAGACTAAGGAGGAGCAGTATTTCAGTTGCAAAATTCACAAATACTCTAAGATTTCCTAATTAGGATAGAATCATTTAATGGGATGCAACTCCAAAGCTGATACAGTATTTTCTCTTACGCAGCCATTTCAAACTTTTTGAGCAGCTGTTATCTGATTTCTGAGATTAATTTTCCCCTTGGATGTACTGCGTCTGGCCTGGAAAATCAAACCAGCATTTGATGGCTTGCTCGAGGGACATGATATGCTGCAGCACAACCCTCGCAATGCTAATTGGATGTTTTGGACTATTTTTAAAAGGTCCACTGAATCTATGATTGGCCTTTTAAAGAGCACTTGATAAATAATTAAATCGACACAGATAGAGTAGAAGAATATTTAAGTGCTTCCCCCGTTTAAAGTCTTAGCTTTACAAACCATCAGCTCAATAATCTTTTAATTTAAACATACCCCCCCAATCTCCAAGGCTTAGAAGCGGCATCTGCTACACACACTCTGCTGGAGAAGAAATCCAACCTGAGACATGTTGACATTTGTTTTCTCATTGACTTTCATTCAGCCTGTTTAGTCTCTGACTGTAGAGTGAACCAGCATATTTGTGTGTGATTTAAAGTTATCAGTGACACGATTTACACTGTATGTTTATGAAAGGTCAAATACCCCACTGTAAATCCCGTATAGATCAGGATGCAGCTTAGCTTGGCATACAGTAAATCCGTGTAAATCTATGTATGTTGGTCCTTCATAGATCTTATCTTTATACTCTATGAAATCAATGGCAGTGCTCTTAGACGTTATGTCGCCATACTCCCAATAGGAAAATTAAAACATGCCACCCTATTTTCTTTCATAGCCAATTTTGGAATAACAAAAACTACCTCAAGAATATAAAGCAACACCAGAAAATAGACTAATTTGTAGATGCAGTATGATTCAGGAGCCTGTTTTCAGTATGAGAGCGCTACACAGTGGGGGGTTTGAAAGTTAAGACACTGCCAGGAGCTTTGCAGGCTGACCTGATACACTCGGATGCCAACTCTCGCTTCATTTAAATGCCAGGTCAAAAGCACCGAAACATTGCCGTCCCTGCCAACAACACATCTCAATCTTCCTCAGGCTTTATCAATTAAGTGACCTTTGTAGGTTGCATGCTGTACCCTATTGCCTGTGAGTCTCTGTCAGAGCGTCCTGCACAGACTTGGCTCTGGGCCACGGCTGCCGGGCTCTGTGAGGGAATATGAATGGCATTAGTTGCAGACTGTTGCCATGGTGTTGACTTATTTACTGTCCATCAGCCCACTGACTTCAAACAGCACATGTTTTGGCTGCCATATTAGTGTCAGTGTTATCATCCAGGATACATTTCCTCTGGATGATTACCAAAATATATAAACCGTGACTTCTTATAAACAACAGATAGACATAAGCAAATGCAACAAGTTCTATGACATGCTGAACGATGGGAAATGTGCATTATTAGAAAATAATAAATCAAAGCCACACTATATTTAATGATTTGAAAAGACATATGAACTATGAAAAGATTGTTACAAGCTGGCTCCTTTTGATCAAAACAGAAATTACATTTACAAAAAATCTAAAGAAACACTCTGCTGAGATGTATTTCCATTATTGGCTCCTGATCACAAACATGCTGCATATCTCAGAGCTCATTGATGTCCTGCGCAGCTGTTTTTCTTCAGCAGCAGCAGACCTCACTTTTCATTTTAAACGTATAACGTCACTGACATTTACATTTTCCAAGCAATTAATGTGCTTGGAAGTGAATGTGTGCAATATTGAAGGCTTCAAGGGACACATTTTTAGAACAACTTTTAATCTAAACTTTTCGTCAAACTAAATAACAATTCAAAGAAAATATTAGATCCCGTAGCAGATTCAACTGACTGTGTTCAATTCATTTGGATGCAAGGCTGTAAAGCAATGATACTCAAGATAAACTTTGGCAGGGCAACATTAAGGAATGGACTGGAAGCTTTGCAGCAATGACATAGTATTATTTGACAAAGAAGGAAATGACAAAATACAGAATTGTTTTAAATACTTACCACATTTGTTTTTAGAATTTTTAAGAAATCTTTTTGCATAATTTCCGGATTTGTGACAGTTGTTGCATGGATGGGTAGGCTTTTCCTGCCAAAATGTCCTCTGCATGAAAAGTTACGCAACAAAAAGAAAAGCTCTGATCACCCCATGAGTTTTGTTTTATATAAATATATCGTCATCTCGATAAAGGAATATTAGGGCAATGCTCTTACTTTAAAAAGTTCTTATAATGCCTAAAAATACTGAGATATGTGAATCAAGGTCGAAAAGCAGCTTTGTTCATTTTCCTCAAACAGATGGAGTGAAATGAGATTATTTCTGCGAAACAACCTGCTAACCTGCTAGATATGATCATTTTGATGACATTTTGTAAATAACTTTGAATAGGATGCATTGGTTTGTGGATGGTGTTTTGTATTTAAACACACTGTGTTTGTTGGTGAGTCATATATGGGCATCTGTGGAACATGCTTAGTTTGTTTGTGTAGTTTTGGCTGAAAATTAGCTCCATAGTTGTTATCTTTATTTGTATCTTCTTTAACTATGTCTATGTACGCACCATGTACACCAAGGCAAATTCCTCGTAAACCTACTTGGCAAAAAACCTGTTTCTGATTCTGATTCTACTAACACAATGTGTCTCTTATATTGTGTAATATAAGAGAAAATTGGCAGTTCATAAAATAAGCGAAAAAGCAAGATTTCAAAAATATGAACTATAGGCAGATAGAACCTGACATTTTAGAAACAAACCAAAAAAAGCCTGACATCTGCAAATCAGTATACAGGATGCCGCTCCTCTCTGTTCACCAGGGCTATTCAATCTCAGTGAAATATCAATCTTCTCCACTGAATTAATACAGTAACTTAAAAGGGGACTGAAAAGCAAGACTGGAACATTGTGTTATATGGTGGGATTCAGCTCCTGGATTAATGGCTTTGAAGTACAGCTCATCAAATCTGCATGAGCTGAAAGTAAATGAGACATTGTTACATCAGATGTTTGGAAGCGTTTCAAAGAGTTTGAAGATAATATAAATTACACAACCTACAATGTAATACTCTATGCATAATTAAAGATTTGAATGCAGATTGTATAGCTGGAGACTCCGTAGCAGTAGGTGGCAGTGTTTAACATTGGGCGACATACTGGTGTCCACACAAAGCGGAAGTAGAAGCAGAAGAAGAAGAAGCCCACACGTGTGTCTAACATGTCTGCCTGCCGTGTTGTTATGTGTTGAGAAGCCGTGAGCCGTTTTGACTAGTCTATCACACCGTTTTATTTCATAAACCGTACAGAAAAGTTACCAACAGCAGTGTAAGAAAGCATTAAAGCTTCAAGATGGCGGAGAGGAAGAAGAAACTGACGAAGAAGAAGAGCTACCCAGGCAGCAAAGATCAGGAGGACTCCGACTTTGAGCTGGCTGCGGAACCTAAAGACGACGATGATGATGTAAGGAACAGCATTTAAAACAACTTATTTAGTAGTTGTCCTATTATGGTATATCCCGTTGGCAGCTAATAACTATTTTTCTGTCATAACTTTTATGCGGGGGTATAGCTCAGTGGTAGAGCATTTGACTGCAGATCAAGAGGTCCCCGGTTCAAATCCGGATGCCCCCTGGTTTTTGTTTTGACAAGCTTTCCTTGTATGACATACATATAATATACCCAGGTTTATTATCTGTTCTTATCCGTAGTTTTATTTATCAATATAGATCTTTTGGGAGAGAGATGCTAAATGTTGCCAGCAAATATGACTTCAATATAACTTAACAGCATTTTCTCTTACAAGACATCATGACATGCTTACGCCAAATAATCAACAGACCTTGTTGTAAATAGTTAAATGAAGGATATGTTTTTTCCAACTATATTGCGACACAAAAGTAAGTGTGCTAGACTCCTTATAGTTCATCTACTTCCTTCAAGAAACCGCTCACATCAAGGTCTTGTGATTATCTCTAACCATGATCTGGAAAGAGACTTTTAAGTTATGATACATATGTGCGGAAAAAGTTAATTGAAATGGGAGACATCCTATGCCCAGCAGCATATTCAGCTTGAGCACTGTTGTCAGAATTATCAAGGGAAAACATCTACTTCTCCTTACATCAGAAGAAAACATGTTAAAGGATGAATTTACCAACACGTATTGATATACTTGGCGCGTTTTGAGGTACCTCTCTTGTGTTGTTAACAAGCTATTGTGTTTACTTAATGTCCTCACAGATTGGAAAGAAACTCCTATGCCTCTCCACATCAGACTGGATGTCAGATGTGGAGCCCGACACCAGGAAGCTTGTCAGAGCTCAGAACAAGAAGAAGAAGAAGTCAGGAGGCTTTCAGTCCATGGGTAAGTCCGAGTGAAGGGTGCACAGATAGGGATGCTTTTCCACTGGTAACCTGCAGATAGGGATTCACAATATTGGATTTTTGCCAATATTTACCTAAACATTTGAGCTAAGGAAGTCTGGTTCACTGTTTCAATAGACGCAATAAATACATTATTGTTTATTTCAGGTCTCAGTTACCCTGTATATAAAGGTGTCATGAAGAAGGGTTACAAAGTCCCCACTCCGATCCAAAGAAAGGTAAGTTAATACTTTTTCTCGATCGCATAATCAAACATCTGTTCCTTCTAACAGCAGACTATTTCATTCACAATTATCCTCTTCACCACTTTCAGACGGTCCCAGTGATTTTGGATGGCAAGGATATCGTAGCCATGGCGAGGACCGGCAGCGGTAAGACAGCTGCCTTCTTGGTGCCCATGTTTGAGAAGTTAAAAGCCCCCTCATCCACAGGGGCCCGGGCCCTCATCCTGACCCCCACCAGAGAGTTGGCACTGCAGACCATGAAGTTCACAAAAGAGGTTAGTAATCAGATGAATGTTTGTTGATTTGCTGACTAATATTATCCTTATAACTGTTTCACTGTTTTTGTATTGTAGCTGGGGAGATTCACTGGCCTCAAGACTGCTCTGATCCTTGGTGGTGACAGGTGTGTGTCTTCTTAATATTCTTAGTTTTCTATTGTACTCTCAGATATATAGAGTTATCTTTTGATTTTGCATTAATGTAAATGTCCCTGCTTTTTCCCAGAATGGATGATCAGTTTGCCGCTCTTCATGAGAACCCTGACATGTGAGTGTTTTGAAATTGCTCATAATGTCGTTTCTCCTCATCCATGTACTGTATGTTGTAATCCTGATCTCTGCCCCCCCCACAGAATCATCGGTACCCCCGGTCGTCTCATGCACGTCATCATGGAGATGAACCTGAAGCTGCAGAGTATGGAGTATGTGGTGTTTGATGAGGCTGACAGGTGAGAATTGAAATTCTGTATAGGTGTTTCATTGTCATTTCACAGCTTGGATTCACACCTGCTGCCATGTATGTATGTATGTATGTATGTATGTATGTATGTATGTGTGAACGTTTCGGTGTTCTTCTTCCTCAGGTTGTTTGAAATGGGTTTTGCCGAACAGCTTCAGGAGATCATCCGGAGGCTTCCAGACAGCAGACAGACTCTGCTGTTCTCCGCCACTCTGCCCAAACTGCTGGTGGAGTTCGCCAGAGCTGGTGAGACAATCACTTCTGTTGTACATGCATCCATCATGTTTAAATATGGTTTCAAATATAATCATCATCATCAAATTATGCATAACACACAGTTTACTAAATCATTTATTTATATGTTTTGCAGGGCTGACTGAACCAGTGTTGATTCGTTTGGATGTGGATTCTAAACTCAGTGACCAAATCAAGGTAAAGAAAGGACAGTTTAATACACCTGAAATAATTGCTAGAATGATCCAATAACACCAAGGTTGAAAGGAAAACATTTGTTTTACTTTTCTCATAATAAATAATACATTTATTTTGGCTTGTTAATGCATAATTGTGACCTGAGAAACCTCATGTTCAGACCTCTGTTATTAATTGCTTTCAAATATGAATAAATAACTGTTAAAGGTGCAAATTACATCGAAAGCTTGTAGCTAAATCTTCTCTTCATATTTGTCCATCATTTACCAAATCTAAATGTCTCCTGTATTCCCTCAGCTGTCATTTTTCCATATACGCGTGGATGACAAGCAGGCACTGCTGCTCCACATGCTGAGGAACATAGTGAAGCCTCAGGAGCAGACGGTGGTTTTCGTAGCCACCAGACATCACGTAGAGTACATCAAGGAGGTGAGATCCAAACGGCAGATGTGTCTCTCTTTGTGTGTATTTTTCCCTCAATGGAGTCTCACACACTCAAGTCCAGTTTTGTTAGTTTCTTTATATTTATAAAAAAGAAAAACATCTTTGCTTAACGGTATTTACTTTTGTTTTAATCTCCAGTTGCTGACTTTAGAAGGCATCGAGTGTGCCTACATCTACAGTGCCCTCGATCAGACTGCCAGAAAGATCAACATAGGGAAATTCACGCACCGGAAAGCCATGGTGCTCATTGTGACGGATGTTGCTGCTCGTGGTATTGACATTCCCATGCTGGACAATGTCATCAACTACAACTTCCCCTCCAAGCCCAAGCTCTTCTTGCATAGAGTTGGTGAGTGGCTTAGACAACACTATCTTGTTTAACCTCTTTCATTTTGACACATTTTATTTGCGGGAAGAACTTATGAGGTTATTTTGCAATTGGTCATCATCTGTGTTTTCCCATCAGGTCGTGTGGCACGTGCTGGACGCAGTGGTGTAGCTTACAGCATGATTGGTCCAGACGAAATGCCTTTTGTCTACGACCTTCACCTCTTCCTCGGAAGACCTGTTGTGTTCGCCACACCTGAACTCCCACAAGGTAGGCTTTGACTGCTGAAAAAACTCTTGGATTGATTATTTTCACGTTCTCCGATCTAACCCTCTCCTCCCCTCCTTCAGATTCAGAGGGTGTGTTTGGTCGAGTCCCTCAGAGTCTCCTGGATGACGAAAGTTCTCATTTGGTCACGGCTCACGAAAACTCCCTGGACCTGCAAAACATGCTCCATGTCTCGGAGAACGCCTACAAACAGTACCTGAAGTCTCGACCAAGCCCCTCACCTGAGTCCTTCAGACGGGTCAAAAACACAGATCTGTCCAGCATGGCTGTTCATCCGTTACTAGGTCAGTTTGGAGGGGAATGAACTATAGAGACAACAGTGATGATGATACTCTGACTGTAGTTGGTAACAGTTTTTTTTTGTATTGATCTTTTATTAGGGTCAGGTTTGGAGAAAATGGAACTGGAGCGCCTTCAAATAGTTGATGCCATCAAAGGCTACAAATCTAAAGCGGTGAGTTACCATAGATAATGATTCCGGTTTCTCATAGCGCTGCAATGTTCTGCTTACCTGTAATAACGCAAACTGCCTTCTTGTGTCTATTTGTAGACTATCTTCGAAATCAATGCCAACAATAAGACACAGGCTGGGGGGGTGATGCGGGCCAAGCGCTCCAGAGACAAACCGCTGGTGGAGAAATTCAGCAGACAGAGGGACAGCCTGGCTGCAGAGAGCCTGCTGCATCAACCTGTCAAACCCTCCCCCACCACCACCACCACCATCACCACCACAGCTGACGATGAGGACGATGCAATGCACAACTCAGACGAAGATGACGACGATATAAAGGCAAGCAACTCAAACGTCTTGCATTTCTTTGTCCTCTTGGGTTTCCTTTTATCATGGGTGCTCCACATCCAGTGTGTTTGGTCATCTGTAATTAATACAGGTGGAAGAAATGGCATATAGCGCTGTCCCACATTAAAATCAACTAAGTACAAACAAGCAATTATATTTTACAATATTATTATTATTATTATTAATATAATATTCTGCTTATTACTTTCATCTTAATCCTTTTGTCCAGGTCAGAAAACATCTCAAGTCGTCATGAAGTATATTTCTTGATTAGTCTACCAATCCCAAAGATATTACATTTATTATGTAATCTGATATATAAAAAAAAGCAAACAGAAATATCAACAAAGTTCCTGATTCATCTAATCTTCATTGACTCATCAATTATCTGAATATAATCTGCATCTTTTAAACTTGTCATAAGACAGGGCAGCATCTCTTACTAAACTACAAAATCTTGATTTTTTACACGGCATGAAATGCTAAAAAACGTAAATATGTAATGCTTTCTCTTTCCACCAGGGGGTGTTCTCGTTGGTATTAGGTGGAAAAAAGAGAAGCATGGAGGACGGTTTTGAAGAATGGCCAAAGCACAAGAGGAGCAGACAGTCGGGCAAAGACTCCGAGTTTTACATCCCCTACAGACCCAAAGACTTCAACTCTGAGAGAGGGTGAGGCGACCATTGAGGCTTCTTTAAAATGTGAAAAGATGACATTGGGCATGGTTAAATAATTGATCATTATAACCCTAACTCATGTTCTGTGTGGTATTAGGTTGAGTCTTGGTGGAGAGGGCACCGCCTTTGATCAGCAGGCCTCCTCAGCTGTCCTGGACCTGATGGGCGATGATGGAAACAAGTTAAACCAAAACAAGAGTGTGATGAAATGGTGAGGATTTAAATATGCTCTGTACCCACCCTTCTACTATTTCTGACACCTCGTGCTTCTGATTCTGCCTCATTTTACCTTAATTAAGCCTCTGTTTATCATTCCTAGGGACCGTAAGAAGAAGCGCTTTGTGAGAGAGGTAGGAAAGGAGGACCATAAGAAGAAGATCAAAACCGATGGTGGACAGGTCATCGCCAACAAGAAGAACAGGAAGAACTTGTATCCTCTTTGTGTCCTTGTTCGGTTTTACTGTTCTCTCTCACTCTGACAATATGTAGCTGTGATGTTGAGACGTTGTGTCCCTTAACGATATGTGAAGTTACGAGGAGTGGAAGAAAAAGTACAAGTTTGACGACGGTGGAGCTGGATCAGATGGAGAAGAAGGAGGAGGCGGAGGACGAGGAGGGAGGAGACCAGGAGGAGGTAAGAGAGCATCTCGTCGTGAATTAGATTTGTACTTAGATGGGCAATTTAAGGTAAGCAAGCGTCGAACCAAAACACGAATAGACAATCCCTGTACAAGAAAAAATTGCCGCAATATCTGAAAAAACAACTGTATATATCAGTCTACACACAAAGTGAACTGATCATCACTGTGGCTGGTCACCAGTTGAATGGCTTCTATAATAAAACCAATTGATCATCCATTCCAAAATGCCAACTAGTTTATCAAACCAGAATATTTTAAATAACCCAAACTACAATGTTGATGTCAGCTTTAATTTACAACCATAAAGATAACTTGCGTTCTACATGAAAAGTCTATCGTCACATGTTATATCAAAAAGAACCAGTATCATTTATTTTCTTAATCCTTCTTTGTGTGTCTTCCACCTCCCAGGTCGAGGTCGTGGTGCTGGTGGTGGTCGTGGTGGTGGCCGTGGACGAGGTCGTGGAAATAATCCTAACTTCCAGAGTCCCGGAGGACTGCAGCAGAGACCCGGCGGCAACAGAGTGCGCTCAGAGCTGAAGAGCAGTGACCAGATCCTGAAGCAGCGCAAGAAAGACCAGAAGCACCAGTTCCTACAGAGCGGCGCCCTACAGAATATCCGTAACAAGAACAAAAAGTGGGCCGGAGAAGTCAAGAAGTCAGGTTTCGGACGGGGTGGCCCGAAGAAGGGTAAAATGAAGAAGAGACTCTGAGGAGGACACTGAGTGAATAATATCAGAGAGAGATGGAGGGCACTACGGAGGACTGGATGATGAGGCCCATTATCTTCAAAACCAATTATACAGTTTCACGGTGTCTCTCACGATTATGGATTGAATAAGAAGACGAGTTGTGGAACTTCTGGCCTCAGAGTATGTATAAGAAGAATCCGATAAACTGGATTATCTTCCTTTGATTTGTGTCGGCAGATTAGTGTATTTCAGTAGTGAGATATTCTTATACACATAAACTGATGGCAACATACAGATTTGAATAAGACGTTATTCAGTGTCTTCATTTGCGGTCAGTTGCATGTTTATGCAACAAAAAAAGGTGTGTTTATAAAATGACTTCAAAATATATACATTTTCATTCTTGAAGCTGTGTTCTTTAATAGCTGCACCTGGTTATAGTCCATAGCTTTGAAAAGCAGAGTCCTTGTGTCTGGAAGAAAGTCTTATAGGGTGCATTCACACCTAATAGTCCGCTTCTCTGGTGCGCACCAGACGACAGTTTGTTACATTGTTTCATTTTTCAGAAGGTTCACATGGGCAAAACTCAAACAGACTATAAACTTTAAACACAAGTCATGTGCACGGAAATGCTGTTCAACCATTGGTCAGACATTAAGGGGGTAGAAACGCAAATCCCGGCAATTTCTACCGGAGCCTCCGCCATGGAGCATCGGCACTTTCGGCAGGTTATTCTCATGCTGCTGTTAATCTGGAGATCAACAGACACTAGCGGCCCGCGCATATGATTATATAATCAGACAACGTCCGTTAAAAAACATTATAACACATCATGAGAGACGTTCTGCAGTAAGGAGGGGTGTTTCACCGACGACAGGTGTTTTAACTTTTATGTAGCTGACGGAGAATTTTTACTTTACACGACACTGTTCAACACTTAATTCTGCTTCACTCTTTAACTAAACAACCGCGGATGTCTTGAAAGACTCTTTCGCTAAAGATTTTGAAGACATCCGCGTTCTTGTGACACGTAAATACTACGCTTCCTATGTTTTGGTGCAGACTGCGTTCACACCAGCAATGAACCGCTCCAGAGTTCGCAAGCAAGCGCTCCGTTAGCGGACCAGAGTCCGGTTGTCTCGGACTGCGTTCACAACGACCCAAATGAACCGCACCAAGCGGCTAAACGCACCAGGGTTCGATTCAACCGGACTATACAAGGCAGGTGTGAACGCACCCTAAGATAGGAGACACTTGGGCTTCATTTGGGATGACAATATAGCTAAATTAAACGGTGTCATAGTATCAGGGGAACTGTGTTCTGACTGTCTATCTGGAGTCGTTTTGTACATTTAAATAAAGCCCAGTCAGGGTACAACCACACGCTTTGAAAAAAATCTTTGATGTCATTTTATTCCCTTGATCTTCTGCTTCTAAGTAAGTCTGTATATCTTTTGTTCCTGCTGATGTAAAGTCTGGATTGTTCCCAGTGTTTGCTCCAGTGGATGATGGGAATGAAAAACAAGGTACTGGGTTGTAAGGATGTTTTCCAGGTAACTTTGGATTGAGGGAGAATGCAAGGTCCACAACAGGTTTTTCACCAAATGATGTGATCAATAAGGGGTTGAATCCACCAGTTGTATTCTTTATTGAATCAAGTAGTTATAAATAGTACAGCATCCTAATAAGGTACAATGCTGCACTCTTTTGGTGGAAACGAGCACTGCAAGTGTATCATGGTGTCCCAGAAGTTTCCAAAACTGCATTCCACTCTTTACTCGCCCACAGTGAGAATTTGCATATCAGGCAAAAGAAAAAAGACAGGAAAGGAAGACAAAAAATCCTCTTAAATATTAAGCTTTAACTCATCATAAATCAAATATATTTATATATAACACGTTGGACTTGTTCTGACATTTTATAAACCAAATGATTTGTTGGTTAATCTAGCAATATCAGCAGTTTAAATAATAATGAAAATAATAATTGCTTTCTGTTGAATATTTACATCGACATTAAATTATGTTTATTCTATTTTTTAAAGCAATACAAAACACAATTCCTTTCAGAGATGAAAGTCGAGGCAGTTGTTCCTTATAATTATCAATTGTGAGAAATATACTTGTTTATCTGTGATAAAATGTAAGAGATTGTTTAAGACTTACATGGTGGTGGTATTAAGTGTAATGATTTAAATGTATCTTACTTTTGACATTTATTAACTAAGTTATAATTACGTCTTTAAAGAGCAACTTCCAGGTTAAAGACACCTGTGAATAAATGTGTAGGAAAATGATGTATACACTAGATTAAAAAAATATATATACATAAATATACACTACAGCAGTGGTTCTCAAACTTTTTCTGTCAGGCCCCCCCTTTGGAGAAAAACAAAAGTCGGGCCCCCCCCCAACACAAATAGTCAGGCTCAGTGGCGGCGCCAGAGATTTATTTTGGGGGTACTATGGGGTAGCTTGACGTTTCATAGAGGGTGCTCAAACATTTAGGGTTTCCCATTAATGTACCGGGCGCTACAGTAGAATTTTCTACTGCAACACTCCCCACGCATATACATTACATTACATTACATTGCATTTAGCTGACGCTTTTATCCAAAGCGACTTACAATAAGTGCGTTCGACCAACAAAATACAACTTGAAGAAAACAGAATCATATAAGTACATCAGGCTTCATAGAGCAAAAACATTTCAAGTGCTACTCAACTGGCTTTAGATAAGCCAGTCCTTTATTAGTATAAAAGTGCTTTGTTAATAATTCTATCGCTCGAAGTGGAGTCGAAAGAGATGAGTTTTCAGTTTGCGCCGGAAGATGTGCATGCTATCTGCCGTCCTGATGTCAATGGGGAGCTCATTCCACCATCCTGGAGCCAGGACAGCAAACCCACGTGTTTTCGCCGATGGGAACTTGGGTCCCCCTCGCAGCGAGGGCGCAGCGAGTCGTTTGGCTGATGCAGAGCGTAGTGCACGCGCTGGGGTGTACGGTTTAACCATGTCCTGGATGTACGAAGGGCCAGATCCATTCGCAGCATGGTAAGCAAGTACCAGTGTCTTGACATACATATACATACATATACACAGTGTACCCGCGACTGTTACAGTGAAGGCTCGATAATCAGCTCACGGCATATAGGTGTAAGCAGGGGTAAAGTGCTATTTTTATAGGTGGTGTGTGGACCTCACATAGGGGGGTCCGGGGGCAAGCTCCCCCGGGAAGATTTAAAAGCATCAATCTGGTGCACTTTGAGAGCAAAATGAAGAGATCTATGGATACATCTCTCAACACAGAACTGTAAACAGATTTACTATTTCTTTATGGATATTTTACAAATCACTCCCCTTTTAAACTTTATACATTTTTTAATGTCATATAGTATTTCATACCTGTTTTTAATTTATTTATATTAATGGTGACCAAAACGTTTGAGACCCACTGAGATAACACTGAGAGAGTCCTTTAGCTCACTGAGTCTCTCAGTCTGACAGGAGAGGACTCTCCTCCACTTTGTTGTTGAAAAAACTCCTTATATCCGTTAGCGTAGCTCACTAGCACCAGAAGCTAACATCAACGATCTCCGGTACCGGTGCGCTCTCTCTCTCTCGCTCGCGCACGCACACAAAATGGCTCGTTCCACACACACACAGAGCCGAGCTTTAATGAAACACAGACACCCAGACGTAATAGTACTGTACTGTATCATATTATTTTCGAATCAATCATTTTTCAAAATATGATTTATTTATTTATTTTTAACCTTTATTTTTTTTTTTTAATAACCATTTTTCTCCTGGTCTCTCGCGCCCCCCCCTGCCATGCCTCTGCGCCCCCCACTTTGAGAACCACTGCACTACAGTGACATCTGAGCCCTTTCTCATTTCATCAAATCCGACTCCTGGGTCCTCCGGTAGTGACCCGGAAATGAATTTTAGCGCGCCATGTTGAAGGACATCTAATTTCTCTAAATGCACTTCGAGGACCGAGCATCGAGCAGGCTCTCTGGGGAGCTCTAACCGAGTATACACTGATGGGTCCTCCACGGCTCCTTCGCGAATGCATTTCCGGGAACAGAGATGTTTCAAAGAGTCGTGACCTTTATATATACACAGTCTATGGTCGTGACCAGTCTATGGTCGTGACGCACGGCCGACTTATCTCAGCCAATGACAGCTCTGCATGCATCCCCTGGATATTATTTTAGAAACTGCTCTCATCGCAACGCGATGTTTCCGGAGAGAACAGCTGTGAGCATGGCCGTATCTACCATTGAGGTCACCGAGGTCCGGACCTCGGTAATATTTTCCGAGCTGTGTATATAACAAAACTTGTGAAATAATTGCACTAAACGGGGTTCTTTGTAGTACTTCCATTTACTGACCATGGGGGCGCTGCATAACTACGTAGCCTCGATTAAAGCAAACAGAAGAAGACGACATTTATCAACAAACCACCTCAGCCGGGCTTGTATCGTTGCAGCCTATGGTTGCAGCGGAGGATTGATGAGGTATCTAGAGATCTGCGTCCAGCGGGCTGCTTGTGTTTCTGTTCCTCACAAGACATCATAGGACCAGCAGATCTTGTGTGAACGCTCCACGTTAGTCAGTGGACGTACGACAACATGCACACTAACTTATATTGCAGCTATAGGCTATACTTTGGTTTAAATTGCGTGAATAAACTAGCTAGAGAGAGCTAAAGTTAATTACATCCATCCAATGTCAGAAGGATTACCTTTTAACAAACGTTGTAATGCTTTTCTTTCATTTAAATTTGAGTAAAACATTGGAGATATAACATTGTATTGTTTTCTTTTTACACTGACTCAGATATAATGAAAAGACTACGTCAGTCGAAGCTCAGCTTTGGTAAGGAAGAGACAGGACAGGCAGAGAGAGAAAGTGATGGAAGTCAGGGAGGAACTGCAGGTACAGTCACACAAAAGAATGTAGGCTTAATATCCCCATCTATTTATCTATCTATAACAATAGTCTTCATTTATAGACAATAGCCATAACAACATATATATATTGCTGTTATGATGTCATAATAACATACAATTGTATAAAACACCATTTGCTTACATATTTGTTCTCTTTTGAGAATCAAACAAAACAGATTTAAATAAATAAAAAGAATGCAAACAAACAAGTGAAATGAACTAATTGCTGAATTGCTTTTAATTCACTGGCGGGAGCGACAAGTGAGGAGGAGCAAACATTTAACAACGAGGGAGAGATTGAACAAAGAGAAAGAGTAGAGGACAGAGAGAGTAATGAACAGGAAGAAGACAGAGAGACTAAAGAAGATGGAAGAGAGGCTGCAGGTTATGGAAAGGAGAGAGACATGGAAATGGAGACTGAGGGAAATAGCACAG